CTGCTGAGGTGTTCTTGTGTGTTTTAGTGAGCTTCCTTATTTCGTGCACTACAGTACATTTGTAAATTTGCTTTTGCTGATAGAGTGAGTGTTACCTGGAAATGTAACTGGTACTTTTTTATAATGGCATTAGAGCGATGACAGCTAGTATTCGAGAACTTTGATCTGCAAACCTGCATATGTGGGGCTCCTTGGCGTTTAGAAAAGCAATAAGAACTTTGGAAATACATTTTAATGTTTTATGGCATATTCAAGTTCTTTCAAGTTGGACCTGTTCAGACAGGGTGAGATGAGTGTTATGGACTGGTTATTCCTCAAGTTTTTATGTAGTAACGTTCCTAAAGACATAATCAACGAAACTGATGATAAGGTGCAATCTGAATTATGACTTGAAGGTACCATTCAGATTCTTAAAAGTACTCAGAAAATTTTCCTATTAGCATGTTGAGGTTCTTAAAAGAAGTAAATTCCAGCCCTGTTTTTGGGGTTTTTTTTAGTAATAAACTCAATCCCCTAAATGAAGCACTTTGGCATTCACTAGTGGGGAGGGGACCAAGAAAAAGGCTGTAGCCCTGCACTGGCACGACCTGGTTACCCAGTTCGGTCAGGATGGCTTTAGCAGCTGGGGCTGTGGACAGGGATTTTCTTCTGGACTAGGTTGTGCTAAAGGAGGGATTTACTGTTCTTCCTTTCCAATCTGCCCTCGACTGTTCTCTGTGACAATTTCATCGCCCGTGGAGCAGATGGTGATATTTCTTCCTAATTGGCTGCAGTGTCAGTGAACAGGTTGGTACAACAACAGTCTCATCCCTTTTCTGAGGAGGGGCCGGGTCGGTGGGCTGTGCTGACTTGTGCCAGCGCACTCGATCTCTGCCGCCGAGTCCTGGCACGGCTGCTGCCCTGTGCTGGCAAGCGGCGGTGAGAGGCAGGAGCCTGGTAACCTGCCACCGTACTGCAGCATCTGTCCTCATCTTGAGCGTGTGGAGAAGAAAATAAACACGTATCTTGCTCAAAATCAGGGGGAGCAGCTGTGGCAGCACCATTTTTTTGTCACCTTGTGTTTTTCAAGGAGGTGGTAGAACTGTGCAGAAGGAAAAGGCCCTCCTGCCAGCACGTGCTGTTCTGCCGAGGTGCAGGGGCAGGGGAAGAGCCTCAAAGCTGTAAGCCATCGTCGTTAACAGATGCTTCCTAATAATGAGGCCACCAGCTGTGGCTGCTGGGACGTTGCTAGGGCAGTTTGTAGCTTTGCAAAGTGGCCATTTAGTAAAATATATGCTTGCACTCTGCTCTCATGTTTATGGCTTTGCCTTAGATGTTTCTCAGGCATATCGTCCTCTTTGTGGACTTGACTCTGTGTGTGGGGGGGGAATTATTTTGCTGCTCATTTGTACCACATCTCGAGTTTTAATCTTATGTAAGGAATTTCTATTGAAGATACTTGTATTTGTGTACAGAAAACGGAGAATTCTCTCCTAAATGCACTTGATTAAACCTAGTTCTAAAAATATCTGTATTCAAATTATCTTTCCTCTTGATGTGAAAATAATAAAGCAACTGAGTTTGTTCCTGGCTTCCCTACTGCATGAGGCCTTAGGAAAAGGCATCGCGTTGTGCTGGTGTGTCTAACTGCCTGCTGATGTATTACTGTCTGGGCTTGGCTGCTCAGCTGCGGTGGTGTGGCTGTGTCCATGTGTTGATCAGATACGGTGGGGCTGCAACCAGTCCCTTTCTGTTGTGCTGCTGAATCGACGCGATTGCCTGGGGGCTGAGAAGCTATAAAAATGCGTTGATTTTGTACAGCAGGTCTTTGCCCCTCAGATCGGAGCCTGGTTTTATGTGGGGACCCTTGGGATTTTTTTTACAGGGTTCAAGTGGGTTTTCTGTCAAACGTTTCCAGCAGCATGAAGGGTGCCGTTAGCGTTGGGAATAGCTCAGCTTCTCCTGAATTTGAGCAGGGTGGCAGAGGAGGGTGTCGTCGACTGAAGGGCAGTGTTTGTTATTCCATATTGACAGCACAGCCATGCACATCCCATCACGTTGGCTGGGAAGCAGAAGCTGCTTCCCATCAGTGCGAGGAGCCCTTGCAAGGCAGAGCACGGTCAGGAGCAGGTGCTGCCGAAGGAGCTTGCGAGACCTTCCTCGAGAGCTGCTCCTGCGGAATAGACACCTGGCTGACCTTCCAGCTTCACAAAGGACTTACTGGTTTCATGGACCGGTTTGCATTTGTAGCTGTAATTTTTTTTTTTTTCTTCTTCCCCCCCCAGCTCTGAAAGCAAAGAGCAGGGAGCCACGAGGGAAATGTGCGCTTCAGGAATGGGAGGCAGAGTTGCCTGAGCAAGTAACAAGTGCAGATGTTGGCGGAAGCACCACTGTGCCTTCAACATTTTTCCAGGGATTAGCTGTTCCTTTGCAGTGTATCGGGTGTATGCAGTCTCCTGTTTACAGTGAGATTCCCAAGAGTCGCTTTGTTTGCGTGTGTCTTTTGCTCCAGCCTGTTACAGGCAGTGTGTGGTATTTCTTTCTCCTGGAGTTTTACAGGCTTGGAGAGGGTAGGGTGTAGATTTTGCTTTGGCTTTTGCACCCCTTCCTATCAGCATTGATTTCCTTTTTTTTTTTTTTTCCTTCTCTCCATTCCTGGGGTGTCTGTTCAGGTTTATTGTCTGAGTGATGGAGAGGAGCTGTTCAGTAGTTTGTCTAGTCAGGAATAAAGACTTTGGTAGAAACTGCCAGCAAGGTTGTGTGAAGCCAACTCTTGATTTTGTAGGCTAATAGGAAATACAATAAAGCACCACAGCTGAGAGCATGCAGGCAAATCAGCAATTAGAGCACAGAGGTCTGTCCGAGGAGCGTGGGGGTCAGGTTGTGGTCAGCTGGAGCACTGCCCTGGATTGGCAAGTCCCACAGGGAACTGTACATGAACAGCACGTGATGCTTCCGAGCGGGCTGGCGCGGCGGGTTCAGGTGTCTCTGAACCGATGCACAACGAATTCTCAGTCGAGGGAGCTGAGAGATGGTGGCAGTTGGCATGCGGCGTCTCCAGCACGTCGGAAAACCTGCCACGACTCGCAAGGCTCTGGAGCAAAGGTTGGTTCCTACCAGCTAAGGAGAAGTGGGGCACAGCACCTTTATCCGTGCTGATGCTGGAGTATCTGTTATTGCTGTCAGTTCTTCATGTTTGTAATTCTTAATGTTTCTGCAAGTCAAGTTGACCAAGCAGCACTGGCATTTGCCAAGCTTTGAAACTGTTCTCTTCCCCTTGGTGTGCGACAGCCCTGTCGGCACATACTGGGCTAGTGAAGGGGGGCTAATCCAGCCCGGAAGGTTATGCTGGCGTTTGGGCTCGCAGCATCTGCCATGGTCTGGCCCTTAGCCAGTGGTCCTGGCACTCGAGTCCTACCCCTGCCTCCCATGACTCCGCTGCGTTGCTGCCTGCCGAAAGCTGCCCTCTCCTTCTCTGCGTTGTGCTCTGCAGGCTGTTGGCTTTCCTTCAGAGCACTCCTAACGCAGGAACCTCTTCCTGGGCCCAGGTTTTCCCTCCCATATATCCCAGGCCACCGTGCTGCTTGGCTTCTGTT